TTCAGCAGGCATTGCTCTAACAAGTCACCAGGACGAACACGCACAAACAGGACTCTGCTAATCTAAATGCTTGGAGAAACCAGGCTCCTTCTCTCCCACAGGTGTAAGGCATGGAAGAACCCAAAGACACCTCTAAATCCAACACAGTTGTCCTAAGAGGGCAGCAACTCCCTGCTGGCGAGGGAGGGAACGGACAGAATGATGCCAGAAAGGTGGAACTGGTTCTGTGGCTGGAAGGAGAAAGGAGGGTGGAGTGGGAAGTGGCGTTGGCAAGATCTCCTCCCAGTGCTCGCCCGGCTCCCCCGCCGTGTGGCCGCCCCAGGCCCGTGCTGAGGGAGCCACTGCTCCCTCAGGGAGTCCCCAGGGGTCTGTGCTGGGCTGTTGGCACTCAAATGTCTTCCCCAGGGCTCGGCGTGGGCTGCAGACAGCGTGAGGATCTAGTCAGAAGAGGTGGGTCACGACAGGGAAAGAAGGTTCCCCCTTCACGTTAGTTATGCCACACAGAAAGCAGAGGAGAACAAAAGGCCAGTAAAGTTAACGAGATTAAAAAAAAAATGACAAGAAAAGAAAAAACAAAAAAAAAGAAGGAGAAAAAAAAAAAGAAAGAAAAGCAGCAGCAGTTTCAGCCAGAGATACAGAATTATCTAAACCCGTGGAACACGGGGCTTTTTGTTCTCTGCAATTATCAGCCATTGAACAGGTATTAAAAAAAAATGTTTGTTTTGCCTTTTTGTTTTCCACATTCATGGAAAAGGTACACCAGTAGTGCTGTAATTGGTTTCTATTTTAGTGGCAATGCTGGTCAGGAATTCCTCAGACCACATACTGGTAGGGGTCTGCTTTTCCTTGGTCTGGTGTTGCGAATGGGCTAAGCCATGCTATAGAGAAGGGATGGCCAAATACTGCTTTCATGTTCATCCATTTTGTTTTTTTAGCCCATCTTCTCTCTTCCTTTTTCAACTGTTCTATTCCCTGAAAACAGAAATATCACATTTTCAGTCAAACGCTCGGATTTTGTAGTTCTGGATGTGGGGCAAGGTCTGCTCTCAGCTACCCCTTATCCAAAGGGTGGAATAAGAAAATGAAAATGCATCTCTACTGCCTTTCATTTCCTTCTCAGCTTTTCATACTAAAAAAATTACTACAGATAGAAAGTATTCCTTGGAAATAAAGCTACTTTTGTTTTTGTTCAGGCCTAGATATCTCATAAACTTTTTAGGACCTGCCATCTGATTGCCTCTGATGTCAATTAAAAAAGAAAGCCCCACCACCTAAAGCCAACCAACACTTCTGTGCTTTAATGGCTGAGCACTACTCACTAACCAGATGGAAAAGTTTGAGAGGAAACCACTGGAAGCTTGCAGATGCAAAAAAAAAACCCACGAGCCCAGAGACAATCTCTATAGTGCTCCCAGATTCACCAAGCAAGTTCAGGAGGTGCCCATGGCTCAGTGGAGCTGAGTCTACCTGGTGCCTCTTCGCGAGCACCGCTGCGGAGACATGCACGGGCTGAGAGCAGGGAGAGAGGGTTAAATCAGACACTGCTTCGAGAGAAACCCTGGATGGTGTTTAGTAAAGGTTAGAGGCAGAACAAAAAACAGCCATGGAGCAGTGAGCCGAGACATCCCCCAGCCCGTGGTTAAAGGGTGAGTGGTCTGTGCTGTGTCCAAGAGCCACAGGGGGAACTCGGTCTCTCAGGAGAGCGGTGCCCGGCTGGCAGGGAAGGAAAAGGGAGCTGTGTGGTTGCTGGAGAGCAGGACTCCTCCACGGGGAGCAGCAGGCACATCAGCCTGCCCTTGAACTTGGAGCTTTTCCAAGGGAAGCTCCTCCTGACCTACACGCCCCTCCCGTGCTAGGGAGCGAGGCGCTGCACGGCACCTCAGTGCCCCACGTTAGCTCTGCAGAGCACAGCCTGTTGATCCCTGGCAAATGTCACCTCTAGAGATGACAGCAAGATACCAGGGTGATGGGTCTCTTCAGGCAGGAAGGGACTGTCCCAGTGGGACAGTGTGGACAAGATGGGGAATGAGGTCTCCCAGCCATCAGAAGGTGAGAAAAGGCGAGACACAGCCCTGCCTCTAAAATGTGAAGCAAAACACAGCAAGAGACCACACCAGGGAGAATTTCAGCTGGAGATGCTCCTCTGCTTGCCAGACACGTCTAGTTTGATGCTAGCAAATCTGCAGTGAGATGTTCCACAGAGCAAAACCCTTATTAAAAAGGAAAATAAAAATGAAACCCCACAATCCAACTAGGGGGAGACCATATTTCACTTTTTTTATTTCAGATCGTGGCATCGTTCCTTTAACATCTATGAGTTCCCAAACTCTGAGGGGAAAGGAAAAATCACGGGGACTTATTCGGGTGCCCAACAGCTTCTAAAGATGCTTGAGAGGTTTCAAAGACTGAGGAATCCAGGTGACAATTTCACAGGCAGCACTGCTGATTACACACTCATCGACAGCCCGCAGCTTGGCGGGGTCTCCTTGTTCTGTAGGACCCTGTGCCTCTCCCCAGCAGAAGGAGCAGCTGAAGTCTCCCTCCAAAGACAGGAGAGCAGCAGTGTGAGCAGCAGCCTCTCACAGAAGCCAAGCATTAGAAAAAGTGCTGCACAAAAGCCTGAGGAGCAATAGGTCTCTAATGCCAGTCGCAGCTCTCCGAGGGCAGCCAAAACACCTGCTCCAGCTTCAGCTGGCCATGGGCACACAAGTGAAGGGGAGAGAAAACTGAAGGAGGCAGGGGAGGAAATAAGAGTCGTCGCTCTTACTTTTTAGAATAACATTTTTCTTCAACCTCTCCTGTTAATTGAGGTATCTGAGCATGCTTGGTGAAGCCAGTGGCACGCACGAGCGTGGGGACACCCCCAGGAGCCACCAGCTCCATCTTTACACAAGTGAGCAAACGTGGGGCTCTAGGATGGACTGCAGCACTACCACAGTAACACCCACCCAGCACCCCCCTGATGCACAAGTGGAGCAGAGGAGGCTCAGGAGAGACCTTCTGGCTCTCCACAGCTCCCTGACAGGAGGCTGGAGCCAGGTGGGGGGCAGGCTCCCAAGGAACAAGTGACAAGACAAGAGGAAACAGCCTCAAGTTGTGCCAGGGGAGGTTTAGGTTGGATGTGATGAACAGTTTCTTCTCTAAAGGGCTTTTCCAGGGCTGTGCCAGGCTGCCCAGGGCAGTGGTGGAGTCCCCACCCCTGGAGGGGTTTCCAAGCCGTGGAGATGTGGTGTGAGGGACAAGGGGCAGTGGGGACCTGGCAGTGCTGGGGGATGGTTGGACTTGATGATCTGAAACATCCCTTCTAACCAAAACGGTTCCATGACTGTTCTCCTCACAGCAACCCCTGAAGAGCACCACCCAGCACTGTGCTAGCTCAGTCCCTCACACCAGATCCCTCCTCAGAGGGCAGAGGTGTGTGAGCTGCCTGTGCAGCGAGGGGAAACCCTGCAGCCCTGCCCTGCTTCCACAGTGCTGAGAGACGGGGCGCGGGAGCCAGCGCGAGCCACCCACCGTTTCGTCCGTGCAGATGGAGTGTACTTGGGTCCCAAACATAACCGAGGTGAAGATGAGGAAGAGGAGAGCCTCGAAGCACAGGAGGATGAGGAGAATCACCGTCGTCGGGGGAGAGAAGGAGCTGCATTCTGTGAAGGCAAAACAACGGGGTTGGAAGTGGAGAGACCAGGTGGTGCAGCAGCTGCAAAGCACCTGCTCGGCCAGGAGATTTCCACACTCAAAAGAAATGACATGATCTCCACTTTCAAGAAGGGAAGCTCTGATACTCTGATATTCCTGAGGATATTCAACAAAGAAACAATCACTCTTGCAAGTTGTGGGAAGGAAAAAAAAAAGAGAGCAAAACCACCCCCCTGCAGCTCTTCCAGAATACAACTTTCCTTTCCCCAGCACACTGGCTGAGGCTCCACTCCAGTTCACCTGCAGATTCTCTCCTAAATCTTAATCTGAACAAATTTTTCCACAGTGATAAAGTCCATTGGAAATCTCAAGCTGGTGGTCAGGACACAAGAATAATGCTTTCTGCAGCACTAACATAAAACCAGAATATGTTTCCTTTCATAACTGCTGAGTCATAACCTTAAGAAGGGCTGATTAAAGCCAAATTCTTCTTTTTCCTCCTACTCTACAGTGCAAACTTAAGCAAGAGCTCAAAGAAGGTAACTAGAAAAGATGAGCAGAAGAAAGGAAGAAGAAGGAAGAATGTTTTAGGGCAAAAACCATACTGTTGAGTGCTGTAAATGTCAGAACACCTCCAGATCTTTCTGATATCCAAGAATAAGTGTCACAAAACCCCCCTTATTTTTCTCACAAGATGTTGAGCTTTAACAGAAACACCACCATCAGCACACACCCAAGGTGGCTGAAACAACAGGTCCATCTCTAACCCCTCTGCTCTGCCATCTACACCTGGGACAGGAGGAAAGTTCTTCCTCCACAGACAAAGGCTCTGATTCTTCTTTTTCCTCCTACCCTACAGTGCAAACTTAAGCAAGAGCTCAAAGAAGGTAACTAGAAAAGATGAGCAGAAGAAAGGAAGAAGAAGGAAAAATGTTTTAGGGCAAAAACCATACTGTTGAGTGCTGTCAATGTCACCTCCAGATCTTTCTGATATCCAAGAATAAGTGTCACAAAACCCCCCTTATTTTTCTCACAAGATGTTGAGCTTTAACAGAAACACCACCATCAGCACACACCCAAGGTGGCTGAAACAACAGGTCCATCTCTAACCCCTCTGCTCTGCCATCTACACCTGGGACAGGAGGAAAGTTCTTCCTCCACAGACAAAGGCTCTGAAAAAGGGGGCAAAGGAAACCCTGGGTTTTGAGGGTTCCTTCCCCTACAGCCCTGGCCAACAGAGACAAATCCAGATGCTCACAGTGACAGCTGGCAGCAGTTTCACAAAGTTCTGAACTGCAGATCAACCTTGTCAAGTTGTGTGGGCAAACAAACCCATCCTCTGCAGAGCTGCAAGCTAATGATGTGTCATGATAACAGAAACTCCAAGAAAAACTAAGCCAATACTCTTCCAAAAAAAAAACCCACAAGCAGCACACACACCTGCACACACATTTTTTTTTTGGCAGCTTGCTGTTTGCCTCAGCATTACCTAGAGGATTTCCTACATCCATCTGTGTTTATGGAAACATCTCAAGTGGCTCTGTGAAAACCAGCTCGCTGGCTGCCCCAGAGCAATGGTTGGGATGTTTGTTTATTTGGGTTGGGTTTTTTTTTTGTGGAAAGGAATTGTTTGTTCTTGTGAGGGTGGATTTTTGGATCTGAGTTAGCACATTTTCCTGGCAGTCATGCCAGAATGATTCACGTTATCCTTTTAAAAGCAGTGTACACATTCTTATCTTCTTTGGCATTCAGGAAATTGGTGCTGCCTTCATGTCAACAGCAAATTACTGCACACACACTATCTAGGTATCTTTACAACTCAGCATCAGGCTTAAGTTGCAACAGGACTTTTCAGGATGGAGATTCCAGCAGGTCAGAAAGAATTATGAAGCTTCTGGATTGATCAGTAAAAAAATAAGATTTCAAAACAGAGTGTAGGAGAGCCTAGTAGCATTCTTCTGAAACCAGCATAAAAGGGGTTGTCTTACAAGCAAACTACATGATGAAATGTTATTCCTGAGCCAATCTGGTGATTTAATGAGGTATTTTGTTAGTACTCACTCGTCCAGTCTTCTTCAAAGCAATACAAGAAGTGAAATCCCACCATGATTAGAGCATGCAAGGAAATCAGTGCTATATACATCTGAAAAATAAAAGATAACAACGTAGGCATCAGGGAAGTTTAAAGACCAGCATAATAAATCTTTCAAACATTTTAAATAAAGCAAAGTGTTAAGGTTTAACAAAACCAACCAACCAGCCCAGAGCCCACCTAAACACCTCCCACTGAAACAGGCACCCTGAAGCTGGCAAATGCCAAGACTAGAGGGACTCATCCTGACCTTGCCAACAGCTCTGAGTGAACAGGAGGGAGAAAGCTTCATTCAAAGCCAGCTGGACGGAGAGCCCAGCCTCCCACAGAGCTTATTCCCACTGTCCTTATTCCCCAGAGCAGGCAGGCTCTGACACCCAGTGTCGTGTGGTCAAAGCTCCCATCCCTGCCCTTGACAGCACCACAGTTTCCCAGAGAAACAGCAGCTAATTTGTCTTAACCACAAAATGCACTTATCTGTTTTCCAGCATGAGGTTCAGAAAAAATATTTGTTTAAAATAAGTATCTTTCCCTGAGGCAGATGCTGGCATGGAAAGTTTCTCTCAGGCTTTAATATTTTGCACTTAACCCTTTTTATTTTAAATTAGACCTCACCTTTGTAACAAAGAGCTCCAAACTATACATGATGCTACATACACACTACAAGTAGGACTAAAAAGATGATTCTCCTGAAGCTACACACTCTGACAAAGGTTGGCAGACATTAGAAGTGAGAATTTTTGTTACAAGAAACCCCTGTGGAAGCAGGAAAAGGTGACAGGAGAGTATTTTGGGTTTCCTTGTAAGTTGAGCTTGCTGCCACTCTTTCACCTCCTGAGGTCTCAAAAAGAATAACCAAGAACAACCCCTATTTTGTTTCTCTCAGCCACGTGAAGTATTTCATGCAGCCTACTTGAAAGCAGATGTCAGCTTTGACAGGAATCCCTTTGACAGGGTTAAACCACTCAGCTCACTCCTCAAGAAACCCTTGCTCAGGAGAAGGACCTGGGATTGTTTTGTCCTGTAATCCACACCCTAACAAACCACACCAGAGGACAGAAAAGCCTCTCCAGTTAACTGGAACCCTCCCCCTCATTACTTGGTGAGATGAGAACATTCCTCCTCAAACCCACAGATGTCTCAAAAGATTTATTAATAAAACAGAGCATCACTGAGGCTCAGTCCTGTCATGTTCACGCTGCTCCCACGGGGTGTTTGCAGCTCACTTTGATGAAGCAGATCTCAGCCCTTCCAGACATATGTAGTATTCACGTCTGAGCTCCTGTTTTCTTACTCGTGCTGCCACAGAGTACAAAAAGTCAAACACCTCCTTGGTTTTCAAGGGTGAAAATAAACCACCCGCCAAGGGGGATGCAACTCCCCACGCCTGGCTTAAGGTGTGCAGCAGCTCTTATCCTATGATCCCACACAGGCACTCATACAATACAACACTGAGGAACCCTACGTGTGGCCTGGGACCCTTCCAGCCACAGCATGGGGTAAAAGGACAGCCCACAATAAACTATTCACCTCATGACATCGGTGCTGAACAACGCTCAGCACAAACCTCAGCGAGCCCTGGCACACGCTTCCTGTGATGCCTTTCCCCTGCTGTTTGACTAACTAGGGGAACACACACAACACGACAAGCCTCTTGCAAAAAGACTTGCAAAATACTTACTGTAAACAGTACGAAGTATTTCTGGTTATTCTCTCCCACACAGTTATTGACCCAGGGGCAGTGATGGTCCATTTTCCGGATGCACCTCTTGCAAACACTGAAAGAACACAGGTCTTTATTTGTAACACATTTCATCCCAGGAGCACAACGTTTCACAGGGGCTTGCAGGACACAGGAACTAAGGGAAAGAAGCAGAGGTGAAATCTGAACCTAAGTTTTCTGGTCATCACAGATCTTTGTGCTTTGCTCACTTGCCTAATGCCTGTTCAAAATGAACCGTACAGCAGCAAATCACCATTGTAAAAAATTAATGCCAAGTAAGACATCTTAGTGAAATATTCACAGTGGTGGCTCTGCTAAAATGCAGCCTAAACAATACATTCAGGCAGAGGGGGGAAAAAAGAAAGCAGTGACTTAATGTAGTTTTAACCTTTTTGGTCTGTGAAAACACCCGTAGATTAAAACAAAACAAAACCCAGAAAGGTATAAAAAGCAGTAACAAAAAGATATTTTTCAGAGTTGCTAAGAGATTTTTTACCAACATCAACTGGTAGAAGGAAACTGCAAAGAAAATGAAATAAGTCATTAGAAAAGATTCTTGACATCAAGGTAAACCACACACCAGCACCAACCAGCTGCAGCCAGGAAAACAGAACCACAATATATGTTTCAGGGTAAAGCTAGACACCAAAGCACTTCCCAAGACCCAACTAATCAAAAATTCAAATTCCTGCCAGCATGCTCATTGCAGCCAGAAGTCAAATTATTAAAAGGTTGTTTATTACTTTCTCTGAACATCATTCTCTTGCCTAGTCAGTCACTGCTTCAGCTCAGATAATAAAGGGAGTCTTTTTCCCTGCCGCCTTCTCGGGTGATAAGAGAGGAAAGGCAGTCTCCTGATACCACATTGCACAAACAAGCACAGAAATCAAATATGAAAGAAAAGGGAAAAAAACCCACAACACAAAACCTCCAAACAAGCAAACAATAGACCCAGAAAGGAAACAGCCATTCCAGAACAATTTTGGCAGCGCTGAAACAGAAAGGATCGAGGGCTCTGCCTGTTTTATTTTTCCTCTTCTAAGGGAAACTCTAACAGCCCACACGTTGTTCTGAGCACACATGAATAAATAATAGGAGCCCTCTCCCCCAGAAGCAGCTCGCACGCAGCCCACGTGGCAGGAGGGGGGATCCCCAAGGGTACAGGTCATGCCTGGAAACCAAACGAGCCCTCACCCAACCCCAATGGTTGGTCAGGCAGGACCCAGGCTCCCGATGTGGGGTCGGGTGAGGAGCTCCTGTGGAAAGCAGGCAAAGCCTCCTTTTGCTAGGTGAAGCAGCTGGAAGAGTTTGCTGGGCATGGGGGACTCAGAAAGCAGCACAGGAATCAGAGAACACCCTGGTCCCTCAGGCACACAGCCAGTGGTACCTCTCACTGATGCATACGCACAGCCCTGACATGGGAAAGCCCAATAAACGCTCCTACCCCACCAGAAAAATGCCTGACTGAAGATTCTCAAGAGCATCAGTGCTCAGTGAACCAGTTTCCCAAATCCTAACGTCTCAAAAGTTATCTTAAGGCATAGGAAAAAAGAACATGCAGAGGAGGTTTTGTTTTTAGCCCGAGTCTTTCATTTCCATACGCTGCGAGTCATCAGCAAGGCAGCATTTTAGATGCAAAGTTTCATTCATAATTGAAGAGGTGTCAGAGGGGAGTTTACAGGAGCATTAATAAGTGATAGGCATGATCACATTGCTCCTGCTGAAAACCAACTCCTTATTTTGATTAAAATAAAAACAACAACAACAACAAAAGAAAAACATTTGCACAGTAAAGCTCTGCAAATAAATACGAAAACCACAAACAGCAGAACAAGTTTGTTCAGCTCAGCAGCAGGTATTCCCTCCCCAAAAGGCCCCTCCAGCAACCAGCAGCAGCCCTGATCCCAGCTCTCTCAGCATGTACTGGGGTTTGAGCAGGTAAGGACCAGTGCAAACCCATTGACTCCTTACTGGAAGGCAGTTTGCTTGCTTTAAAAGCAGAAGAGGATTTTAGGAGCTAGGTTGGTTGGTTGTTTTTTTCCTTGCTGCCTTTTGGACTAAAAAGCTGACTCCCAGCTGCTCTCTGCAGGGGAGTCTGTGCTACCAGGGAAAGGATGGATGTGACTGATCAGGGGGCAGAGGGGTCTATCACACAGTCACAGGATTCAGTGAAAACATGGAAATCAGAACTCTTAAAAAGCAGATAATTACCTGAACTTTAGTTTTAATTTCAGTATCACTTCTAAACCACTCCAGTCTCAGACTCCAGCAAAAGTTTAGATCAAGGCCCACTGGATAAATATAGAGGTCTTGATAAAAGGGCTCAGAAGGCCTCAGAGAAGACCTTACCTGCAGTGATGTGCTCTGTCAGGTTTGATGCTGCAGCACTTTGGGCACTTGTAAACCACCTGTCCTGGCTTCAGCTGTAAACTCTCAATGAACTCCTTTGTGGCATTACCTTTGGGTACAGCACCCTGCAGGAAAAAACAAACAAAACAAACCTGAAGATCAACCTGTGGACATTGGGAGTGCTAAAAACAACAGGATGACTTAAAACTACAGGAGGGGAGGGGAGAGAAAGAAATAAAAGCTTCCCTAAAATCAACAGTTTCAAGAAGAGACAGAAGATTCAGAAAACAAAATGAGGCCCTAATATATGGAACCACATACTTAAACATTGTTTTGGTGGGTTTTGCTTTTTTAAACATCAGTAAATCCTCAGTTAAGCAACTATTCTTTTGTAATCCCATAGTAATCTTAAAATATTTAAGAATCCTTGTCCCTCTCTTCATATGTATCAACAAATTTATCATGCTGGTGTTTCATACCACACACTGGAAACCACAGATATTCCATTCCAGTAGCAGCAGCTACTGCTGAGGTATTGTTGTGTACACTAATAAGAGTTGCTGGTAAACACCTCATGTATTTATAGCTATGCTTCCACTGTGTGTTTGTTATTGGAATTAGGGTTTAACATTCAAACAGTGAACAGTAAGAATCCTCCCACCTGAATAAGATGAGGTAAAACACTCTCAGCTGGGCAGTTTCCCCTGGAAAATGTGTGTGTCTTTAAACAGGTAATGTACTGCTGCTGCAGAAGCTTCAGTTCAAGAGTTTCCAGCCTTTTGGGGCCAGAAGTTTGCTCAAAAAGCAAAGAAAAAAAACCAACCCCCCCCTAGATGTCATGAAACGTGCTGGTACACTGGCACAAACACACTTCTGTGGACTTAAAGCTTTTCTAGTGAAATAAAGCCAGGGATGTAATATTTTAACAGATTTCTGATGGAACAGTCTTTTTCACACATCCATACAACCTCCTAGCAGCAATACATGGGGATAACACACACCCAGGAGAGAACTGCACGTTAAACCAGTGCTATGAGACCTTCCTAAGCAGTCTGGGCTCCTCCACAAAACCCTGCCAGCAGGCCTGCCCAATCTAAAAATTACTGAGACCAGATTCCACAAAATGTTCTAACTCTAGGATGCAGCAAAGCTCAAAACCTTAGGAATTTTTTTTAACAAGAGCCCACAGGAAGCAGTTCCTGAAAAGCATGATGCACACGATCCCCTCTGAAGAATTCAGGTGTTCATTTATTTATAGTAAGAGCTCCATTTGCCTGCCTCAGCAGTTCTTTCTGTTTCATTCTGATCCCAGCCCTGCCCCTGGCTGTCCATGTGCTGGTGGCTTCCTTCATCCCCAGCTCACGCTGTCTGCCAGATGTTGCTTCATCCCCTCTCTGTATCACCCCTCCTCCATTTTGGTTAGCTGATTTCCTCATTAAAAAATCCAAGTCCCTCTGGCTCTCACCACTCCTGCACATCAGCCCCACCATGCACACACAGAATGAACATCTCTTTTCCCAAATATTCTGCAGAGAGATTTTATCTGCTGCTCCAGCACCGCGTGCCCAGCTGGCTTCAGAATACAGCTTTTGTTTCACAAGACTCCTGCTAACTCTGCAAAATAATTCCAGTGCCCTGAAGGTCCCTAGGCATTAAAGTCACACAACATACAATAACTAACAACAGCCAGAACCCCTAGGACACAAGCTGGATTACAAATTGCTGCAGCCCTCTATTCCTGAGTCTAATGACCACAAATTTCAGTGCCTCAGCTACTGCTTAACAGCCCTGCCCAGCAGCAGCTTTATCATAAACTGTGACATCAGCCCAAATCAAGCCATTTCTGTGGTGCTGTGGCTTCTGGGAGAGCTGGAAACCAAGCAACAAAGATTACACTGAAATCTTAATGGCACTTAAAGTTTCAAGTAGGAAATAACACATGGAAGGAATACTTAAGGGTTATCAGAGGCATGCTGTCATTTCCCAACAACAACAAGGACACTCGGGAGGAAAGGGTCAAGGGGAATCCGAGCTTGTTTTTCCTTCCACTGACCAGTGGGCATGGAGTTTGGAACTGAAATCCACTGTCCAGAGGTTATTAAGCAAAATAAACCATCACAGGCCACCCCGAACAAGCATCACGGTGCTGAACTCTAGCCTCTCACTAGCTAAAAGATAAGAAAGCTCTCACAAAGCAGCATCCTGCTGAGACATAAAAAGTCCTGTAACTCCTGATGCTTGCCCAAGGACTGTCAGCTGCTGGCATGCTCACTCAGTATTCATTTCAGCAGGCTCCAAAGCACTCCAGTGAATCACTGCGGGGAGGGAAGGTACCAAAACACCACACGTTCTGCTCCATCCTGCTGCAGCACTGCTCACCGAGGCAGGCAGGCAACCAAAACCAGCTTTTCCAGCTTTCCTGTTTGCCAAGGCACAAACTCCAGGTCTGCCACTGGGGAGAAAATGGTGTCAAAAAGAAACACTCCTTCCTGGTGTAAAAAGAGGAGCTGCTCACTGCTCACATGACAGGGCTCTGAAGCTGGGCCCTTGACTGTGCGTCTGGCTGGAGGGGGATGAGGAATCAGCACACCACAGCCTCGAGTGACAGGCTGACACACAGAAGTCCTTTACATCTGCCACTCACTCAGCAACCAAGTTGCCCAACATCTAGCAGACAAGAAAAACATCACCTCTTTCTTTCCAAGCCATACAGAGAGAAATATACTTACGGGATCTGTCAGCATAGCACGAAAATGCGAAGCCAAAGCCAGGAAAGCCAGGGTGTTGAACAGCGTGCCATTGATGACACTATAAACATAATCTCTTGATGGAACTAGCATGACAAGAAGGACTACAAAGTCGGCATAGAACACCAGCATCCAGGTAACGACAGCACATGCAATACCACAGCCATCTCGGATAAACCACATTGTTCCCAGGGCAGCACGGCTCGGAGGTGGAACACACTTCTCTGGCTGGAGGTATTCAGGCTTCCGTTCAATATCTCTGGCACGGTGGACTGGGGTAATCATCATAGGCTGCTATGTCCATACTTGCATCTGAAAGAGTCAGAGAGAAGAGGGCTCACTGCTCTGCAGGGCTCAGAGACCTCCGGCTGCTTCAAGGCGTGGGGACCCCCCGGGAATTCCGCGCTGAGGAGAGCCAGTGGGAAAAGCAAAGGAGTTCAGTAAATCCAAGAGGAAAGAGGGGATTTCAGGCTCCTGTGCTTATCAGAATGCTTCTTACTCAGAAGATCCTCCAAGTGCGTTTGAGGATTGCTTAATCCCCATTACAACCAGCAGCGTGCCACCCCCACTCCCCAGAGGAAGGGCACCAGGCACCTTAATGATGGGACAGCCATCAGGGAGGTGCCACCAGGAGCTGAAGCAAGACCTGGACACCATCCCACAAGGGAAAAAGGAAAGGCCTGGCAGGGCTGGCAGGGTCCCTCTTTGCTGCCTCAGACCTGGGGAAGGGAAGAGTCTCTCCTACAGGTACTGGGAAGCTTAGCAAGTGGAAGAGGTTTCCTCTCTCCTTATCCATGGACTTGGCTCTGGGGGAAAAGTGGAAACAGAAACCCCTGCCAAGTTACAGTGTCAGGATCTGGTGAAGCAGCAACACAGGCAAAGCTCTTGACAGGAATTTCTGGTCTTGGCTGAAGGATGCCCCTCCCAAACAGCAGCTCTCTTCCACTCTCACCTCCTCCTTTGGCCTTATGTCCCTAGGAACTCTGCTTTGCCACGCTTCTCCCACCACCTCTGCTCCATCCCTCACTGGCATTTGGTTTGCCTCCTGCCTGGCATTTCTGACTCCACTCCACTGCAATAAAGGCACTGACACACCACCTGCCACCACTGCCCTGTCCTCTCCATCACCACAGGCACCCTGTCTGCCCACAGGGCCAGGTCCACCCTGGAGCCAGCAGCTGTTCTGCTCCAGGTACTCGAGGTGCTGTGGCTTCAGCGTGACCCCCACCAAAGGCAGGCAGGTGAGAACACCCAGAAGGTGCCCAGGAGCCTCTGGCAGGAGCTCAGTCGACACGCACCGTGGCCGCAGAGCACTCGATGCCAGAGCACACCCAGAATGCTACAGAGAGTGGCTCTCTGTGCACCCAGCAGCTCCTCCCAAGGACAGTCCTTAACAGGGTGTTTGCACAACGCTTGGAACACTCAGAAGGATTAAAACCTCTACTTGAAGACCCACCTTCTACAGCAAGGGGTAGTCATTTCTCTGCCAAACACACTGAACTGCCTGTACCTCAACAGAAGGGTTCAGCCTCCCACTTCTAACGTTCCCAGGGCTGAGGCATCTACCACCTCTCTGCTACTTCAACACAGGAGGATTATTTTTTTGCAAAGAAGTGAGAATAGAGTGCATTTTCCCATTTCATATCAGAAAAAGGGAGACAACATCCACCATTAATTCTGTTTTCTGCCAAAAAAAGTTCACATGGAGCAATTTGGGTGTTGAACTGTTAAAAAAGTGCCACTGTTACTGATACTGTATATTGTGTATTTCCATTTTATAGTGTATAAATCTTACAGAAAACATAGTGAGAGAATGGCAAAAGTGACTAGGACCTTAAACTTCTCTCCAAACCTTTATGGGTAAGTTCTTTCAAAGCTCTTTGTGTAACACCAACCAAAACTGAGATGCTGTTGCCCCTGCCCAGACCAGGAAGGAGATGATAGTTTGCTTTCTAGTTGTTACTTCAAAAGAACCAAATTCAGCAGAGGACAATTAGGCTCTCACAGGCAAAGATTAAGGTTATTAATGAGCAGGCTAATTAATTAAACCCAAGCACAGAAGCAATAAGCTTGTGTGAGTGAGAAGTGACTGGAACTGCTGCTGCCACAGTGAGAGGCAAATGCCAGGAGTGCAAAGTTTCAAGGTGAGTGGGGGAACCAGACGATGGACAACATTTGTTTTCAACACGATTGGTATAAATAAAACTAGGAGAACTGGGTTTTTTCTTGTATTTCTGCTTTTAGCATGTAGCATGCTGCCAAGTGGGGGAGTTTCAGGTGCTTTATGAAGCTGAGGAGCCCCACGTGGGTTAATGGTGCAGCGTAGCAGCCTTGTATTTGCACACACATCACACAGAACAGAAAAAAATCAAGATAAAAATGCACACGTGTGGCTCTCGTTTACTTTGGCAAGAAAACCCCCAAATAAACGCTTCTCCTCATCCACAAAATTCACATACCACGTTGTAATTACTTTGTATGTTAACCACAGCTATAATTTAGCCTTACAGTTCCTGATACTTCAGGAGACAAGCTATGTAATTTTCAGATACAGTGGTTACCCAAACAATCTGGTGGTCTATGTTCAGATGTATCTACACCTACAAGTAAATCCACAACTTTTCCCCAGTTTTTCACTCTTTCTGTAAGGACACTTTCATAGTCATACATTCACAGACTTGGCTAGGATTTTCAAGTCTCCTCTGCCACAAGGAAACAGGTTTAACCTTCATTGCATTGTTTAATAATCTTATTAAAATTGTTAGGTTGCTTTGCCAGCTCAAGATGAAGCTGACATAATTAAAGACCCATGCCTGCCTACAATGTTTAGTTGACAGTAACATCATATTGCATTAAAAACCCCCCAAGAAGAAGGTCATTTAGGTATTCAGCTTTCAAATGAAATCTTAAGACTCAACACATCAGGTGTGGTAAGAAACTGGGATAGTTCTGAACACACACTTGCAGGATTTCTTTTGCCTAGTCTCTTGAGGCTTTTTTTTTTCCCCCCCTTTGTGATTTTGTTTCCCAGAGTAAAGCAATGAAGCTGTCACGGGAACTGGACACTCCTATTGAACAGCAGAATTAGTTTACCAAGTCACCTTAGGGTCAGGATTAGCAAAGATTGGCTTAAAACTAAGCAAATACCTAGTGATTAAAGCTGTGGGGTTAGTCCCAAACAGCACACTTCAGCAGTCAAAGAAAATTAATCTCCCTTGTAAACGCAGGAAGTGGTTTCACTCCCATAGTTCTACAGCTCTCTCAGAAATAATAGTGAGCTTACGTGAAAGAAAAGGGAAAAAAAAAAAAAAGAAAAGCTACTGCTGAGTAGCTGCCTAAGGAGAAGGTGGCAGGAGCCTGGAGGCACCTCGTTCTGCCAGCGTGGGGACTCATTCTGCAGGGCTGTGCAGAGGTGGGTGAGAGGATGGAGCATGAGACCAGGGATCAGCACAAACACCCCCCATTATTTGAGAAATTCAGCTCTGTTGGAGCGTGGTGATCTTAAGAGTCATGTTAGAGGAGCTTAGAGCCTCAGCCTCTGCTCTACAGGACCCGGTTAGGGGGTTTGGTTTCATTCCTTGTTGTTAACATACACAAACATCTGCTTTTGTTTACATTGTCCAACATATTTTCATACAAACAATGCCAAATAAAACCAACCAAACAAGACTGTAGCAGGGAGCAATGAAGACAAAGTGCTTTAGGACTTCATCACGTGTCAGGCTCCAACCTCAGCGAGAGATACAATGACAACACAAACGTCAGTCTAGCGTAAGGACATGTCAGAGCAAAGACCTTTTCTTCTTTTTTATCTGGAAGGCATTTGGCATTATGGAAGTAATCAAAAAACCACGTAAAGTACACATTACAAATGTAAATAAATTAAAATCCACTTCCTGCTACAACAAACACTTAAACCACACTATTGCACCCCACATACATTGCGTAACGCTTTTTCTGACCTGCCATAAGTCAAAAAAAATCGATTTTTTAATGGCCTTTGACTGCCAAAGAATGTGTTCAGAATGAACTGAAGAATGATGCAAGCCCTCGCCCACAGGTACCTGGAAGCTACCCGAGGTTCTGATGGTGTAAAAGTCGGGCTGAGCTCGGTGCCACCAGCAGCAGCGTCACCCTGCTGGTTTCCCTGTCATTACTCATGCTCGTGCAGCCAAGCACGTGGGCTCTGAAAACTGTATTACTACACACAGTGCAACCACTTCCTCTAGGAGAAGGCCATTAAACCTTGGGAATAGGTTACATTTTGTCACACGGGCTAAGAGAATGTCAAGTTCTGCCCATGACAAGAAAGCAATTCTAGAAAAAGTTTAAAAAAAAAAAGAAAAAGAAGAATGAGACCAAGGCAGATCATGGGCATTGTTTGAGGTTTTCAGTTTAGGGGTTTATATATTTTAAAGAGATACTTTGGCACAGTTTTTATGACACGCACAGAGTTCATTGACAGTATTTTGAGAGCTGACAAACAACACTAAAATTAACTTTTTATCGTCATCAAAAGGAAGCAAATGTGTTCTTTCCATGACAGCTAACCTAGGCAAGCTAGACCCACCTTCAAATAACCCAACAAACTCCAAGCAGATGGACAGAAACTGCAAGAAGTGTCATTCTGAAGTTTATTTCATTTCTCTGTACACAGAAGTGCACCAATTGCATGCATATTTCATCTTCCTTTGCAAAAGAAGTGAATTCTTTTTCTAACCACCCAGATATTTCCCCTGTGCTTCTCCTGCCCTGCTTCCACACAGCCCAAATCTAACAACACACCTGTCAAAACTTGCCCAAGCACGTTCTAACAGGGACAAGAAGGAAATATCAGTATTTATTTTTTTTTCCTAGTGGCTCCTGCAAGGCCTAAAAAGCTCTGTCTGATCAGCAGGAGTGGAACAAATCAGCCCAGCTAGGCTGAGGATTTGGGCTGTCCCATGCAGATCAGCACGGCAGGTTCCAACCCCTGCTTCACAAAACCTTGGAGAGCTGACGGGACATTTCAAACAGGTCTGTGAAAGGCAGCTAAAAAAAGCAAAACTATAATTAGCAGGCTTAAATTTTCTTCAGAGAGCTATATTTCCATTGGAATATTTTCAGGACTCCACATGTGGTTAAAAAAGCCCAAATGTGCGAAGAGAATAAACACAATTCTGATCCAAAAGGTCAAGTGGGTCAAGCCCAGCTCCTCCCAGGTTAAGGAGGCAGAAGCACTAGGGAAGGAACAGGCACCACACTGATTTATTTTTTATCTTTAAAAAATATCAGGCTTAAAACAAATTCCTGTTTTCTGAGGCTAACTTGGAT